CGATGGTCAGCTTTCAGCCTCTGATTCTGCTATTGAGTTCAATAGGTTCTTCTCTTCCATTGGTTCATCCCTTGCAAATGATATTCCATCTTCCAGTACTGACATTAAGGACTATCTTACAGGTAACTATCCACAGTCTCTGTACCTAAAGCCTATTAATTCCACTGACGTCAATGAGATAATCCTTTCCCTTAAAACCAAGTCTGGTGCCCTTGAGGAGATACCAACTTTAATTTACAAAAAAAGCCTCCAGATCTTTAGCCCCTGCTATTGCTTTGCTCTTCAACAAGTCACTTGAACTCCAAACCTTTCCAGATATTCTAAAAAAGCGAGAGTAACGCCTGTCCACAAATGTGGTGATCTCACAGATGTTAACAACTACAGACCTATATCAATCCTGCCAAACTTGTCAAAAAATTTTGAAAAACTAATCTATAAGCAGCTTTACTCATATCTAGCCAAACTCAATATACTTAGCCCTTGCCAATATTGCTTCAGACCCAAAAAAAGCACTAACGATGCACTTATTAGTATGCTTAACTCGATTCATACAGCTCTTGATAAAAATGAGTTCCCTGTTGGGTTATTTGTGGACCTGCGTAAAGCTTTTGATACTGTCAACCACCAAAACCTTCTTCTTAAATTACATCATTATGGAGTCAGAGGACACTTCCTACAATACCTCAAATCCTACCTTACTGACAGGCTCCAATGTTTCTGTGAATAATACAATTTCTCCCACCCTACCCATCAACATTGGTGTTCCTCAGGGCAGCATACTTGGCCCTCTCCTCTTTCTCAATTACATTAATGACCTTCCACATGCCTCCCAACACCTCAAACCAATTCTATTTGCTGACGACACAACCTTCATTTACTCCAGTCCTGACCCCCTTGCTCTAAATGCCACAGTAAATACTGAGCTAAATAAAGTCCATCTTTGGCTAACTGCCAACAAACTCGCCCTTAACATTGACAAAACTTTCTATATTCTGTTTGGCAATAAATCCTCTAATCAAATAAATCTCAAAATAAACAATACCCAAATTTGTAACAAATTAGATGGCAAATTCCTTGGCATTCTCATTGACCACAAGCTGAATTTCCAGGGACACATTCTAAATATATCACAAAAAAGTTTCAAAAACTGTGGGCATTCTTTCTAAGATCAGATATTATGTACCACGCCCTGCCCTGGTGACTCTCTATTACTCCCTTATCTATCCATATCTCAACTATGGTATTTGTGCTTGGGGCTCTACTACCCAAAATCACTTACGTCCTCTAATTACTCAACACAAAGCTGCTATTAGGACAATATCCAACTCTGGCCCCAGGCATCACTCGGTACCCCTACTCAAATCTCTGAATATGTTAGACATTAAGTCACTGCACATTCTCTCATGTGTATTATACATATATAAAACGCTAAACTATAATGCCAATCCTGATCTCAAAAGCTTCATAGAAGGATGTAACAGAACCCATGAGCACCACACCAGAAATAAATACAGTTTTGATATTCCTAGAGTACGACTTAATCAAACTAGAAATGCTCTACAAATCAAGGGGCCCAGAATGTGGAATGACCTTCCCAACCATGTTAAAGACTGTACCTCTCTCAACCAGTTTAAGTTAAAAACGAAGCTATACCTAATAAATTCCCTGTAACCTACCTTACCCTTCTATTGTCAACCAATGTCTGTTTTTTTTAAAGAGCGCTGTTTGTCGACATAATTGTATTTGTGCTGCTTTTTCATCTATGTTTTCATTTCTTGTTTTCATTCTACTCATTATGCTCAATTAGTATTAAGCTTGTCATTTAAGTTTATCATGCCCGAAACGCTTTGCGTAATAGTGGCTTTAGGCATTGTATGTACTAGCTCTACCTATAAGTCAACCAATCTTTGTAAAAATTTATTGTATGTATGTACCTTACCTAAATAAACATTTTATTTTTTTATTTTTTTTTACCACGTACAAAACTCAGGCAAATCATAACATAGAACGAAAAGGCAATGTAAAGGATCTAGGTGTACTCATGTCGGAAGACCTTACCTTTAAAGAACACAATAAAGTAGCCGTCACAACTGCAAGAAAAATGACAGGTTGGATAACAAGAACTTTTCACACTAGAGATGCTATACCGATGATGATACTTTTCAAAACGCTTGTACTCTCTAGAGTGGAGTACTGCTGCACAATGATAGCACCTTTCAAAGCTGGAGAAATTACTGACCTGGAGAGCGTGCAGAGATCCTTTACTGCTAGAATCCACTCAGTAAAACATCTAAACTATTGGGACCGACTAAAGAGCCTAAAACTGTACTCCCTTGAGCGCAGGCGGGAGAGGTACATAATAATTTACACGTGGAAAATATTAGAGGGGCTGGTCCCAAACCTGCACACAGAAATAACATCACATGAGACCAGAAGACATGGCAGGATATGCAGAATACCCCCGTTGAAAAACAGAGGTGCAACTGGTACTCTGAGAGAGAACTCTATCAACATCAGAGGTCCGAGACTGTTCAACACGCTTCCACTATACATAAGGGGCATAACTGGCCGACCCCTCACAGTGTTCAAGAGAGAACTGGATAAGCACCTCCAAAGGATACCTGATCAACCAGGCTGTGACTCGTACGTCAGGCTGCGAGCAGCCGCGTCCAACAGCCTGGTTGATCAGTCCGGCAACCAGGAGGCCTGGTCGACGACCGGGCCGCGGGGACGCTAAGCCCCGGAAGCACCTCAAGGTAACCTCAAGGTAAGGAAACGAACATAGGAATGGGCCTAAATGCCAACAGCGACTGCCCAGACAGGTACAAGAGGAGTGTTGTTAACGCTTATGTCGATCGTGCTCTCAGCCACAGCTCAGAATGGAAGCAAGTCGACGAAGAACTCTGTAGGGTAAGGCAGGTCCTAGTCAACAACGGCTTCTCCAATGGTTTCGTCGAAGACATCATAAGAAGGAAAGTGAAACGCCATGCAACCTCTGAAGAGACAACTAACACAACACCTATACCCCCTATTAGACTATTTTACAGGAACTTCTTTTCCACAGCTCATAAAACGGAGGAAAGGGTCCTGAAAGATATTGTTAATAGAAACGTTATCCCTACAGACAAAAATCAGAGGATACAACTGACGATTTACTATAAAACCAGAAAAACGGCCAGCCTACTCATGAGAAACTCTCCAGACACAAAGCAGAACGCTTTAAAAGAGACCAACGTCGTCTATGCCTTCAAATGCCCTCTTGGGGACTGTAAGCTCCAAAAAACCCAGTATATAGGCAAGACAACAACATCTCTTTCTAGGCGTTTAACGATGCATAAGCAACAGGGCTCCATTAAGGAACATATAATCTCTTCCCACAACCAAACCATCGCCAGAGAAATCCTAGTAAACAACACAGAAATCATCGATAGATACAGCGATAGCAGGCGGCTTGACGTCTACTAGGCACTACACATTAAGAAGTCAACACCAGCAATCAACAGCCAATTAATGCACAACTATATTCTACCCACCTCAAGACTCCGCTCCAATATAGAAGCATCAAGAAATATGGACCAATAGGCTTTCTACAATCACTTCCATTCAATACCCATTGTTTCGTGTTCTGTCTTGTGTTTATGAATTTAATACCCTATTAATACCACCTCACCCCATCCACCTCACTCAAATGTAGATATAAACAAATCGAAGATGTGTAAGTTCTATTCAGTTGTGTATGTGTAAACTAAAGTCTTTGAAAATGTAATAAGTTTTACGAAACGCGCTCAAGTGTCCCGTCAGACTAGAAATAAAAATGAATTTTGGAGAATTGATTTTTGAATTACCACCAACAGTGAAAAGAAACGTACGAAGATCGAGAAAATTCGTGTTAGAATTATTAATCTTACTTTTTCGGTCATATATATATATATATATATATATATATATATATATATATATATATATATATATATATATATATATATATATATATATATATGTAGTGCCTAGCAGACGTCATATATATATATATATATATATATATATATATATATATATATATATATATATATATATATATATATATATATATATATATATATATATATATATATATATATATATATATATATATATATATATATATATATATATATATACATATATATATGTCGTACCTAGTAGCCAGAACGCACTTCTCAGCCTACTATGCAAGGCCCGATTTGCCTAATAAGCCAAGTTTTCCTGAATTAATATATTTTCTCTAACTTTTTTCTTATGAAATGATAAAGCTACCCATTTCATTATGTATGAGGCCAATTTTTTTTTATTGGAGTTAAAATTAACGTAGATATATGACCGAACCTAACCAACCCTACCTAACCTAACCTAACCTATCTTTATAGGTTAGGTTAGGTTAGGTAGCCGAAAAAGTTAGGTTAGGTTAGGTAGTCGAAAAACAATTAATTCATGAAAACTTGGCTTATTAGGCAAATCGGGCCTTGCATAGTAGGCTGAGAAGTGCGTTCTGGCTACTAGGTACGACATATATATATATATATATATATATATATATATATATATATATATATATATATATATATATATATATAATGGCCATTAATAATGGCCATTTTTGCACCTGGAAGCAGCACAACGGCTGTTATAATAATATTTAAAACTATATAATTACAAAATCTTTGAAATAAACAATTAACTAATTTAAGACCCTCTAACTTAATTAGATCTAATTAGTTCTAATTAATCTAATTTTGATTAACTAATTCTTTATGCTCAATTAGTATTAAGTTCTAGATATTAATGTTTTTCCTGCCCGAAACGCATTGCGTAATAGTGGCTTTAGGCATTGTATGTACTAGCTCTATCTATACTGTATATCGATCCATTAATATAACATCACTTGTATGTATGTACCTTTCCTGAATAAACATATTTATATTTATATATTTATTTAAGAGGCAAATCAAAACAAGACTTGCTATAATTTGTGAAAAGCAGCTTTATTTAAGGTCCTTACATATTCGTTTGTACAGAAAGAAAATTAAGTACAGAGCCCAACTGAGTACCAAATAAATTCCAAACAAATCTCCATTATTTACTGTAGCTAATAGTTCTCAAAGGTTTACCTGTCCCAATCCACTCGCAACTTGGTCGAGCGCATCACCATACTGATCCCCACTGTCCTCAACAGTGCCATTGGGTGACCCGCCATTTCCCTTGACCAAGACGAGCACCACATCAGACAGCCAGTAGAAAGCCTGGTCAAGATCACCTTCACACAGGTAGGGGAGGCGGGACCAGCGCTCCAGCTTGTAGCCTAGACTAGGGAAGACGTCTCCTGCCAGGCTATTGACCTGTTCCTCTACAGTCGACCCACTCACTCCTAGCTCCTCTGATGGCAGGTTGTCTATAGTACCTGAAAGGAAGGGGTCATTATGGAGCTTTTGCTTGAGAACTTGAACTTGAGACAAGCATAAATGGGGTGAGACGCAAAGAGAAACCAGAGATGAAATTACCAGAAAGGACAGGAAGAGGAGAGTAGGATGACAGAACAAAGAGCGAATAGAACAGAGATAGAGGGGGGTGAGATAGGGAAAGTGAAAAGAGATGGGAGGGGGGGAAGATAGGGAAAGTGAGAAGAGATGGGGGGGAGGCAAATGGGGAGATAGGATAAAGAGGCAGGATGGAGGAATGAGCGTAGACAGCGTTTCCCACAAACACCGCAAGGTTCTGCATGAGGAATATAGCCGGAAGGCTTCAAATTAAAAATGCCACAAGGTAAAGAAACTAAAGCCGCAATGTCACTTATATACACTGATGGTTCCCTACACCGCACCACGGGTGCAGCTGGAAGTGCAGTTGTCCTGACAATGGGCGATGGCCTATACTTTGAGTGGGGAGTCCGTATAAACAACTGGGCCTCTACCCTTCAGACTGAACTATTTGCCTTGATCCTTGCACTGAAATGTGTACAAGTCTCCAAACTTGATACATTAATTGTAAGTGACTCCTTATCATCCTTAAATGCTCTCAACTCTTTAAGACATAACTGTAACATGCTCGTGTCCGAAGCTAGACACAAATACAACAAAATTATTAAGGATGGTAACAGAGTCCATTTCATGTGGTCTCCATCTCATGTTGGCCTCCGAATGCATGATAGAGCTGATAAGTTAGCCAAAGAATCTGCCTTTAAAGGAGCCGTTGAGTGTAACCTTGGATTGTCAATGAGCAATCTGAGAGCAGCAGTACACCGAGAACTTCAACAAGATCTTGTAGATCTGAGGCAAAGTGAAATTGACACCAGTAATTCCATCTATCATCATACTATCATGCAAGAGGAGCCACACATCTATGGATCATCCAATAAAATCAGCAGACTTCTAGATGTTACTACTGCTCGGCTTAGACTCGGTTACAAGTATCTCTGCGAATTCTCATTATCTGCTGATGTAGACCTGACCAAATGTAAACTGTGTCAACAAAATTATTCGCACACCATCCGTCACTATGTGATGGAGTGCGAAAAGATACGTGAATTTAGAGACAATTCTATAACCAATGTTCCAGCGATGTGTAAATATTTCATTCAAAATGATCTGCTACCAGAAATTTTAGCCAAATATCCCCAGTTTGCTAACTGTAGGTAGTAACTGAATGATTGTAACCTATCCACCGCTGCCCACTGGATGGGGGGCAGTGTGCAGGACAAACATATAAATTTTGACACTAGCTCTCCACACATGTCAGTTGCTAAATTTAGAACCTGTACTTGAGGTCGATCTCGAACCCATTGTTGATGTGACGACTTATATTGAATTTTGTAACTAGCTCATCAAGATTGTAACTTGCTTAGCTAAATGAATTGTGGGGTTCAGTCCCTGAGCCCATTATGTGCCTCTGTAACCCTTTCCACTACCGCCCACAAGATGGGTATGGGGTGCATAATAAATGAACTAAACTAAAAACTAACTGCAAAGAGTGGGCCGGAAGGTCCCAGAATCCAAAAAAAAGGTTCACGCACAAAGTCAGAGATTTTTAGACCCAAACAAAGTAACTACTACCTGAAATACGAATTGCACTAGTTGCAAAGGAACTAGCATGCCACAATGGACATAGCAGCACTCGGAAAAACACGCTTAGCTGACAAAGGTCAACTCACAGAACGTGATGGTGGGTACACCTCTTTCTGGAGTGGATGCAGTGGCGCCGAACGACGAGAAGCTGCCATTGGATTTGCCATCAGATCCCACCTCGCCCAAAAACTTGCCAAGGTCCCAGAAGACATCAACGACTGCCTAATGACGCTCCAGCTCCCGCTTGGAAGCAAGAGGAGTGTAACGCTGATCAGTGTGTGTGCCCCAACCATGACTAACCCTGCTGACATCAAGGTAAAGTTCTACGAGGAACTGGACAACCTCATTGTAGCAGTCATAAAGTCAGTGAAGCTATAGGACTTCACTGCCAGAGTAGGGACAAACTATTACACCTGGGAAGGGATCATTGGAAGACATGGCACTGGCAAATACAATAGCAACGTCCTTTTGCTCCTCACATTGTGTGCTACACACGACCTCATCGTCACCAACACATCGTTTCGCCTTCCCACCCCCAACAAGACATAATGGATGCAACCACGCTCTAGGCATTGGTATCTGATTATGTCATCACCAGGATGAAAGACAGGCAAAACGAGAGAATGTCGCAAGATGCAAGATGCAAAGCCATGTGTGGTGCCGACTGCTGGACTGACCATCGCCTCAATGTGTCCAAGTGTAAACTTCGCAGCCTGCCCACGAGAAGAGGCCAAGGTTAGAAAACTGTAAAGAGACTTAATGTCTCTAAGATTAAGTTGTTGCGGAAGCAAAGTTGCTGAAGGATTTTTCAACGACCTAGAAAGCAGGATGCACACACCCCAGAATGGCCAGGACACCATCGAGGTAAGGTGGGCAGCCTTCATATATGCTGCTTAATCTACTGCCCTTGAGCACCTCGGACTATCAACCCGCAGAAACCAGGACTGGTTCGACGAAAACGATGGGATAAAGGTATTGCTGCCTAAGGCACAGGAAGTGCCTTTGCGCTATCATTCTCACCTAGTTGACCATTCAGTTGATCTTTGCGCCTGAAGAAAGGTGCTGAGGACGCTTCGTGTGATGCAGGATGCATGGTTTAGCAAGAAGGCCGATGAAATCTAAGGTTACGCAGACAGTCACGACACCAAGCATTTCTATGACGCTCTGAAGGCTATACCACAGCCCTCTGGCTCTGCTTCCTTCCTCAGTGCAGATGGGACTGAACTGCTGACAAAGAAGAAACAGATCTTGGACAGATGGTTTGAACATTTTGATCAGGTCCTTAACCGCCCTGCCTCAATCAGTGATGAGGCCATTACTCGCCTACCTTAAGTAGGCGAGTAATGAACCTGGACGTTGAAAAACCTGCTACAGCAGAAGTAGTCAGAAAGTCCATCAAGCAGCTTTCCTGTGCAAAGCGCCAGGATTAGAGGCAATCCCTGCTGCAGTGGATTTAGAAAAGCAGGATTCTGGAAAAGCAGGAGGCCCAGCCATGATGCAGAAACTGACAAGGCTCTGCCAGTCCATGCGGAATGAAGATGTATGTAAGAGGTGGTCAGCCAAGAGTTAAAAGATGCCAGCATAGTTCAGATGTTGGAGTAAAGAAAGAGGAAAAGCAACCGGTAGTCTTGCGATAATCACTGGGGTACTTCACTCCTGTCCATCGCTGGGAAGATCCTGGCTCGTATCCTGCTCAACTGTCTCCTTCAACACCTTGAGCAGGATGTTGAAGCTTTTCACAAAGCCAATGAGGCTTCTATGTAGAACACGGAACTGTCAATACAATATTTGCTGCACGCCAGCTAGTAGAAAAACGCCAAGCGCAACATAGCGACCTCTTCGTTACCTTCGTCAACCTGATCAAGGACTTTGATATGGTCAGCAGAAATGGCTTGTGGAAGATAATGGAGACGATTGGCTGTCCCGGCAAATTCACTGCGATTGTCCGGCAGTTCCAAGACGGCATGATGGCGGAAGCACTGGACGATGGAGACGAGTCAAAAGTCATCCCAGTGACGAATGGTGTGAAGCAGGGCTGCGTTCTCGCCTCAACACACTTCAGTATGGTATTCTCGGCCATGCTCAGTGATGACTTCCGTGATTGCCAGAGTGGAATACCCATCAGATACAGGACTGACGGCGGGCTGTTCAGCTTCAGGCACCTACAGGCACCTTCCTTCACACAAAGGTGAAGGAAGCTGTCGTAAGAGACTTCATGTTTGCTGATGAATGCATCCTCAACGCCAGCACAGAGCAAATAATGCAACACGAAATGGATTGCTTCTCACAAGCTTGCAACAACTTCGGTCTCATCATCAGCACCAAAATGACTGAAGTCATGTACCAACCCGCACTTGGAATACTCTACCAGGAACCGCACATCACTGTCAATGGGCAGAACCTGCAGGCAGTCCGGCAACTTCACCTATATACACCTTCTTGTACAGCTACTAACACGCATAGCGTTTTAGGCAGGTCCTTAATCCTAATTTTACCCGGAGTACGACCCATCAAATCGTTTAACAACCAGGTACCCATTCAGTCCTAAGTGAACAGAGGCTACAGTTAAGGATTGGCGCCAAGTAAATCCTCCCCGGCCAGGATACGAACCCAAGCCAAAGCGCTTGCAAAGTGTTTTACCACTGTGGCACGGAGACTTCTTCACCTATCTCGGCATCATACTCTCAAGAGCAGTGAACATAGACACAGAAGTCAACAACAGGATCGCCAAAAGCCAGCGCTGCCTTTGGAAGATTCTGTGAGAATGTCTGGGAGCGGAGGGAGCGGTGGCCTTACCACCAAACTGAAGGTGTACCATGCAGTGGTACTCACCAGCCTTCTCTATGCCAGCCTGACCTGGACAGCACACAAACCGCACGCAAAGCTAGAGTAAACTCCACCTCGACAGTAGCGCCCACTCACGTGTGTCCCGTGTGTGGACTAGCCCTCCCATCTACGTTGGTCTCAGCCTCCATCACCTGACACAGCCGCCCACCTTCGACTTGATATATTGAAGTCATGGTCATCTTTGTCTCCGAAGGACAAACATGAAATAAACATAAAAGCACAATAATCTTTGAATGAGAGAGAAGAGAAGAGAAGAGACAGAGAAGAGAGAGAGAGAGAGAGAGAGAGAGAGAGAGAGAGAGAGAGAGAGAGAGAGAGAGAGAGAGAGAGAGAGAGAGAGAGAGAGAGAGAGAGAGAGAGAGAGAGAGAGAGAGAGAGAGAGAGAGAGAGAGAGAGAGAGAGAGAGAGAGAGAGAGAGAGAGAGAGAGAGAGAGAGAGAGAGAGAGAGAGAGAGAGAGAGAGAGAGAGAGAGAGAGAGAGAGAGAGAGAGAGAGAGAGAGAGAGAGAGAGAGAGAGAGAGAGAGAGAGAGAGAGAGAGAGAGAGAGAGAGACTGATAGGAGAAAAAGAGAGTAACAGGCGGAGTAGAGTCAAGAAGAGTGGGACAATGGGGTATAAATATAGAGAAGAGAGGGGCCTGATTCAGCCTGTTCCCTACATGACTTCTGCTTAGCATTAAATTTTAATTATTCATTTTTGTTAATAAATAACAAAAGCTGAACAAAAATGAGTTTCTAGGACCAAGCTTCAGATGAGCTGATGTAGGGTCACATCTCTTAGCGTGTAGATTTATTAGGAAATTTTGCACAATTCCTAGTGAACCCTAGTCTCAGTTTAAGCAAAAACAGGAGTATAACATGCAGTGTTATATAATTTTAAATAGCTATACTTTTCTCGCCCGTAAAAAGGAGTAAATAGGGAAGAATGATGGGAAAGAAAAGCGGACGAGGACAAGAACGGTGTAAGGATTAAAAGGAGAAAAATGGGGAGAAACAGACGAGGAAGTGGTACGGGAGGAATGCAGGTGAGATGACATGGAGGGGTCGAACAAGGAGGTAGTATGGAGGGTTTGAAGAGGGGGTTGGCATGGAGGGGTTCAACAGATGGTCATGTAGGGGGTAGAAAAGAAGGGTTAAAGAAATTCAATTCATAGAGCAAGCGGGTTCAGCATGAACCTACTTGTTCTACCCCTCCAAGTCATGGAGAGGTTGAACAGGGGGTCATGAAGGGGCAGAACAGAGGGAGTGCCATGGAGTAGAATAAGGGGGAGCCATGGACCGGTAGAACAGGGGTGATGTGGATGTTGAAGAACGCTGTCTCACCTATCTCGACGTAGGGGCTGAAGGGGAGGACGAGGGCGACGACCAGGGCGCCGTGGGCGGCCAGCTTGGCGTGGATGTTCTGGAGTAGCGTCCTGGGGGTGTCGCAGCGGTCCAGGAGGTTGAGGCAGGTGACCACGTCGTACTGGGCGTCCTCCACCTCCGTCTGCCACTCCCACGTGTCCAGCACCCTGCAGCGTCACAACCATCACTAAAACATACACTTTCTTTAACATGTACAAAACACCAACATATTACAGATTCCGTGCGAGCTGCCGCTACTGCTGTAACGGCACTGTCGTTAGCACTGTAACTACTACAGTTACTACAGTTTGGGGGGGGGCCTAGTAGCCTGGTAGATAGCGCGCAGGACTCGTAATTCTGTGGTGCAGGTTCGATTCCCGCACCAGGCAGAAACAAATGGGCAAAGTTTGTTTCACCCTGAATGCCCCTGTTACCTAGCAGTAAATAGGTACCTGGGAGTTAGTCAGTTGTCACGGGCTGCTTCCTGGGGTATGTGTGTGTGTGTGTGTGTGTGTGTGTGTGTGTGCGTGTGTGTGCGTGTGCGTGTGCGTGTGCGTGTGCGTGTGCGTGTGTGTGTGTGTGTGGTGTGGAAAAAAGTAGTTAGTAAACAGATGATTGACAGTTGCGAGGCAGGTCGAAAGAGCAATGCTCAACCCCCACAAACACAACTAGGTGAATACCAAGTCTGCCGTCATTATATGAATGTCTTTCATGTGCGTTGTATGGGAATATTTATTTGGTGCCTGCAGGATCGACCTGTTAGCTCTTGGTTGTAGCCGAACAGGCTACAACCAAGAGGCTCCAGATTGCCTGGAGATCCAGGAGGTTCCAGATTGCCTCCAATCTGGAGGTTCCAGATTGCCTCTAGGGTTGGTTCCCTATAACCAAGTTCTAGGGAAGTGGAACCTGGTAAGCCCTCTTACCAGGTTTCAGTTCCCTCTAGTTCCCGGGATCAACCTCGTGAATATGAAGCCTCCCTTGTGAAGACCGATTGAAAAAGCTTGGGTTGATCTATCAAAAGCATTTTAATAGTAGTAGGTACAACTGCCTACACCAATATGGGGGAAAGGGGAACAGAAGTTTGTGTAGTCACTTGTGGCGACTTTCCCCTCGTCTAGGTGTGCCCCTCGCCCCCCCCCAGAGCAGTGGGGGGTCGCTGCTCCCCTGGTTGATATTCGCCCTCGTGTCCACAACTTCTTAATCCCCCCGCCATAACCTCTCAAGTATGAAGAAGGCTGCCGCGCGCATCAATACTTAATCTTAATATCTTCCCCTCACCATAACCAGCTCCCCTCGACCCTCCTAGTTACTCTCCTCACTATCCATTCCCCCCCCCCCCACCCTGTCCACCACCACACCGTATGCACCACACTTGACCAACACCGACAGTGCACCAATGAGGTGCACCGCGTCAACAGCTCAACCCATCTTCCAACAATGATAGTATTTGTACAGACGACGAGTCACAATAACGTGGCTGAAGATATGATGACTGAACTACACACCAGAAGACAAGGAGACGACGGCGTCTCGGTCCGTCCTGGGCCTGATCAACTCGACACTCGACTTTATAATGGTCCAGGACGGACCGAGACGTCGTCGTCTCCTCATCTTCTGGTGTGTGGTTTAGTCTTCGTAGTATTTATATCATTGGTTGGATGTACAAAACTGTTGAACCCAAAACGTTCACTTTTGTACTGTTGCAATACTTCAAACGGCAGACCAAAAAAGGCTAACCATAAACATATAGTTTGGTTTACTATTATCTTGTATAGTAAACATATAGTTTATGGCTAACCTGTCCTAGGCCTAAATAAGCAATCCTAGGCCTAAAACACAACATATAGGCTATATGTACTAGGCCTAATAAAATTTTTGGTACATGCTGTCTTCGTGGCGCCTTCTATAAGATAAATGTTCATGTGTGCTAACAGTTGATCCAAGTATCCAAGATCAAACTTCCAAGAGGCCTGGTCAGAGACCGGGCCGCGGTGACGGTGAGCCCCGGAATCATTATAAGTACCGTCACATTTGCATGACAGGAGGCGACCACCTCACACACAACGCCCATACTAACATGCCATCACAAAGCTGCAATGATTCCAAGTGATTCTTGTAAAACAGAATTTGTACTATACAAATTTTGGGTGAGGAACCAGTCATCAGAGGAACAACACTGATCATGGCCAATTTGGTGTAAAACTAACTGACTACAAGTAATATTTTTTATTCTCGGGTTGATTAATACTAGATTTTGGTGCCATATTTAACATGTCCAACACCTTTAACTGAGGAGCGACCTGACGGAACTCTCCCGTGGTACTCCCTGTGTCCTGCCAGGATACAGCTTCACAACTTCACAGCTTCACAACACACTAAATAAGACGTCATAGACTAACCAAACAGAGTTGCCGAAAAAAATTAGAAAGTTCACTTTTGCAAACAGAGTGGAAGAAGTGAGATGGTGGTGGAGGCCTAAATCATCAGTAGTATCACAGCTTCCTGTGACCAAGAGTCCTGGGAAGACGGGACAACACCTCATCCCGTAACTAGCTCTTTATGTCTTCTAGTCTTCTACCTGTGGCATTTCATTTTATTCTGACTTTCAAATTCTTTGTCGAATCAAGCTTTAAAGTTATTAATGGAGGTGGCTTCTAGAACTTCTTTTAGAACATTCCACATGTTAATAAACTACATGGTTCATCTACTTTTTTTTTAGATATATACAAGAGTTGTTACATTCTTGTACAGCCACTAGTACGCGTAGCGTTTCGGGCAGGTCCCTGGAATACGATCCCCTGCCGCGAAGAATCGTTTTTTACAACCAAGTACACATTTTACTGTTGACTTAAACAGAGGCTACAGTTAAGGATTTGCGCCCAGTAAATCCTCCCCGGCCAGGATACGAACCCATGACAAAGCGCTCGCGGAACGCCAGGCGAGTGTCTTACCACTGCACCACGGAGACTGGTGAGGCTTTCTTACGTCCCTTCGGCTCATTTGCGCCTCCAGCTTCCACCTGTGTCCTCTTGACATGCCTCATGTCTGAAGAGGCCATCCTTGTCTACCTAAATTACAGGAGGATTTGGACGATAGAGCAACGGTCTCGCTTCATGCAGGTCGGCGTTCAATCCCCGACCGTCCAATTTGTCGGGGATTGGAGTTAATAATATTAATCTAAGTTAATAATCTAAGATTATTATTCCTTTCCCCCCGTCCCATCCCAAAACTTTATCCTGATCCCTTCTCAGTGCTATATAATCGTAATGGTTTGGAGCTTTGCCCTGATCCCCCTTCCCTCCTTATCTTGTATGCTGTGATCATATTCCCTCTGTTCCTCCTATCTTCTAGGGTTGTGAGATCTTGTTCCATTAGCCTATCTCTCGTAGCTCAGCTCTCTTTCCTCTGGCACCAGTCTTGCTGCAAACATTTGCACTTGTTGTTATTCTGGCTTTACGTTTCACAAGCTGCAGATTCCACACAGCCTCGCTCCTGTGCCAGGTAAGTCCACTACGGGCTCACCATAGCCCGTGCTACTTTGGAACTTTTGTTCTAAGTAGCTGAATCTAAAACAACAACCACATGCAGATTCCATACCGGTGATGCGTATTCCAGGATTGGTCTAACAAATGTTGGACAGATTACAGTGAAGGAGTAATTCAGGTTTCTAAACGATGGTTTCTTATGAGATATGAGATGCCTGCATCTCATATGCTGCTGATGTTATCCTGTTTGTGTGTGCCTCCGGTGTGAGTGTCGGAAATATATCCCACCCCAGATCCTTCTCTCTGCTTTATCTTCCCCTTATGATGCAGATGCCTTCTGATCTTTTTTTCATTACCATACACTTGAGCGATTGAATTCCAGCAACCATTTGTATGACCACTCCTCGAGTTTGTCAAGGTCCTCCTGTAACTTTGTGCAGTCCTCATCTGTTTTCACGTTCCTCATCAGCTTTGCATCATCTGTAAACATTGACATGTCTGAGCTCACTCCCTCAGGCAGGTCGTTCACATAAATTAGGAACAGCAGTGGCCCAGGAGAGAGCCTTGTGGGACCCCCACTGTTTTATTCCTCCAGCCTGAAACCTCCCTCTGACTGTGACTCTTAGCTTTCTGTCCTTCCTCCTCCTCCTCCTCCACTCTTCCTCCTCTTCCTTCTCCTCCCCTCCCCTCTTCTTCCTCCACCTCCTCTTTCTCTTCTTCCTCCTCTTCCTCCTCCAAAAGGGTTTCGGTAGTACAATTGCGTTATTTATCTCAGCTCACAATCGGGAATTCTGGGTTCGAATCCAGGGCGGGACAGATATGGTTGGGCGCGTTTCCTATCACCTAATGCCTCTATTCACCTAGCAGAAAATAAATACCAGAGACTTAGCCAGCGTGTTGCGTCCTGAGGAAGGTCAGAAGTTCGACCTTCCTCGGGGAAGGTCGAAGGTGGTGTCAGTAAGGTCGATTTTCCTTGGGGAAAACCTCGATATAAGCCTAACATAATTCATAATTTAATTTATAATTAATTGTGTCGGGGGACAGGAAGCCTGAGTGTATTCATACACTGTAGGCTTATATCGAGTCCCAGTATTCGTCTTCGTCTCAGTATTAGATAAGATATTTATTCAGGTAAAGGTACATACATTGAAAATGAGTTAATAACATAATGTGGGAGTAAGAGATGGAGCTGGTGCATACAATGCCTCAAGCCACTAATATGTACAGTGTTTAGGGCAAGATGTGGGGGGGGGGAACTTAAGACTAAAACTTAATACTAATTGAGATCAAAAGCATAAATTGAATTGTAAGACGGAAAACAAGAAAGAGAGAATGATAATAATTACATGATCGAGATAACAGCAGAATGAATTTTAACTAAGTAAACAGTTTTCTTTAAGCTTATACTTGGCAGGTATCAACAGTTAAACAAGTTGGTCAATAATCAATATTGTTTGAAACTAGTAAGACATAGGTTGACATTTAGGAGGTAAGGTAGATTACATGGAGTTTATTAGGTAGTGCTTAGTTTTTCCTCTTAAACTGGTTGAGAGAGGTACAGTCTTTGACATGATTGGGAAGGTCATTCCACATTCTGGGTCCCTTGATTTGTAGAGCATTTCTGGTTTGGTTTCGTCACACTCTTGGAGTGTGACGAAACTCCAAGGTACGTGTTTCTATAG